CTCCCACTCTTTCACATACACACGCCCACACGCCCACACGCGTTATCTACTCACTACGCCCACTCTATCATCACACAGCCACCCTCACGCCCACCCATTCTTTCACCTCCCCCTCCCTCCTCCCCCCCACGCCCAATTTCTCCCTCCCCCCCTCCCCCCCACTCACTCTTTCACCCCTTCCCTCCTCCTCCCCACGCCCACCCACTCTATCACTCCCTCCCCCCCCCACGCCCACCTAATTTCTCCCTCCCCCCTCCCCCTACGCCCACCCACTCTATCACTCCCCCTCCCTCCCACCCACCCCCTCCCTCCCCTCACCCCCACGTCCCCCCACACTATCACCCTCTCCCTCCCCCCTCCCCCCACCCAATATCTCTCCCCACGCCCCTCCTCCCCTCCCCCCCACGCCCACCCACACTATCACCCTCTCCCTCCTCTCCTCCCCCCACGCCCACCCACGCCCACCCACGCCCCTCCTCTCCCCCCCCCATCACGCCCACCCACTCTATCACTCCCCCTTCCTCCCACCCACCCCCTCCCTCCCCTCACCCCCCCACGTCCCCCCCCCAAACTATCACCCTCTCCCTCCCCCCTCCACCCACCCAAATCTCTCCCCACGCCCCTCCTCCCCTCCCCCCCACGCCCACCCACACTATCACCCCCCTCCCTCCTCTCCTCCCCCCCACGCCCACCCACGCCCCTCCTCCCCCCCCCCCCATCACGCCCACCCACTCTATCATCCCGCATCATCTCGCAGCCACGGCGTTACCACCCTTCGCGCGGGCGGCATCATCACAGGCACGTGGGCGGCGGAGGTGGGCGGGGCGGGTGAGATGCGACGCCCACCCACCTTCCAATTACGAGGCACAGGCGACGGGCGGCAGACGCGGTGGGCTAGAGGGGGGTGGGGGGGTGGGGGAAGGGAGAGGGAAGAAGGGAGGGAGGGGGGTGGGGGGAAGGGAAGAAGGGAGGGAGGGGGGAGGAAGAGGAGGTGAAGGAGGGAGGGAGGGGGAGGAAGAGGAGGGAGGGGGGAGGGGGAGGAGGGAGGAAGAGGAGGCCGGAGGGGAAGGAGAAGAGGAAGGGGTAGGGGGTGGGGGTGGGGGTGGGGGTGGGGAGGGGGGAGGGGGAGGAATAGGAGGGAGGAAGGGAGAGGGATACAGGTGAGGGGGGAGGGGAAGGAGGTAGAAAGAAAGGGGGGGGGTGACGTTGGATGAAGATGATGGAGCAGAAGGAAGAATTTGAAGGAGGAAGGAGGGAGAAGGAAGGAAGAAGCAAAGAGAAGAGATAAAGAGGAGATAGGAAGGGAGGGATAAAGGACCGATCTTTCTTTCCGTTTTCCTTGTCTCCTTCATTTCTAAATTTCTTTTTTCTTTCTCTTCTTCCTCCTCGTCTTCTTCCTTATCCCTCTTCTTCTGCTTCTTCTTGGTCTTCCTTGCCTTTTTCCTGTGTTCTATGTTGTATTCAGTGTAGTGTTCTGCTGTGTTATGCGCATGTGTTATGTTGTATGTTGTTTCCAGTGTTGTATTCTGCTGTGTTATGTGTATGTTAAATGTTGTTTCCTGTGTTATGTTCTGTTATGTTATGTGTTATGTTGTATGTTGTTTCCAGTGTAATGTTGTATGTTGTTTCCAGTGTAATGTTATGTTCTGTTTTATGTTATGTTGCCAGTGTTAGGTTATGTTGTGTTATGTTATGTTATATGTTACATATTGTGTTCGTTTCCGTCGTGGTAGTTGCCATGTGACGGTCATATCGAATATTCTAAATACATCATGTCCTCTCATGTCATGTGGTGCAGAGTCGTAAACATGTTGTGTTACTGTGACACGTCATGTTAAGTCACGTTAATGTTGCGTCATTGCTACTTTATGCTGAGTCATCCTCTATGTTGTGCCACGAAAAGTTACCGTGTTGGTTTTTCACATCATACATTGTGCTGTCTACTTAGTCTATTTAATTTTATTCGTATTCAGAATGTTGAGATATATTTTATTGCGTTTCATTACGAGAAAGTCACACTTTACATTAAATTATATAGTGTATCGTATATCATATCACGTTAAATTATATATGATATCGCATATCATCACACGCTATATCATATATGCTAAGTAGTACAATAAGTTATATTACACACACGCGTATATGTATATATATATATATATATATATATATATATATATATATATATATATATATATATATATATATATATATGTGTGTGTGTGTGTGTGTGTGTGTGTTGTGTGTGTGTGTGTGTGTGTGTGTGTGTGTGTGTGTGTGTGTGTGTGTGTGTGAGTGTGTGTGTGTGTGCATGCATGTATATATATACATATATATATATATATATATATATATATATATATATATATATATATATATATATATATATATATATATATATATATATATATATATATATATATATATATTACGCTGTATACCATATGCTAGATTACGCAATATTACGTCACATCATAAAGGTATACTGTACCATACCATGATATACTGTATTCTATGCCGTGCCACGCCATGCAATTCTATATTCTGGACTGTACCACACCATACAGTCCTATATTCTGCACCGTACCCCACCATGCAATTCTATATTCTGTACAATACTACACCACACAATTCTGTACCGTACCCCACCATGCAAAGCTATATTCTGTACTGTACCACAACATGCAATTCTGTACCATACCCCACCATGCAATTCTGTACCTTACCCTACCATACAGTCCTACATTCTGTACCGTACCCCACCACGCAATTCTTTACCGTACCCCACTATACAGTCCTACATTCTGTACCGTACCCCACCACGCAATTCTGTACCGTACCCCACCACGCAGTCTTATATTCTGTACCGTACCCCACCATACAGTCCTATATTCCGTACCGTACCCCACCACGCAATTCTGTACCGTACCCCACCATACAGTCCTATATTCCGTACCGTACCCCACCAAGCAATTCTGTACCGTACCACACCACCCAATTCAGTACCGTACCCCACCATACAGTCCTACATTCTGTACCGTACCCCACCACGCAATTCTGTACCGTACCACACCACCCAATTCAGTACCGTACCCCACCATACAGTCCTATATTCTGTACCGTACCCCACCATACAGTCCTATATTCCGTACCGTACCCCACCACGCAATTCTGTACCGTACCCCACCATACAGTCCTATATTCTGTACCGTACCACATCATACAGTCCTATATTCCGTACCGTACCCCACCACGCAATTCTGTACCGTACCACACCACCCAATTCAGTACCGTACCCCACCATACAGTCCTATATTCTGTACCGTACCACATCATACAGTCCTATATTCTGTACCGTACCACATCATACAGTCCTATATTCTGTACCGTACCACATCATACAGTCCTATATTCTGTACCGTACCACATCATACAGTCCTATATTCTGTACCGTACCACATCATACAGTCCTATATTCTGTACCGTACCACATCATACAGTCCTATATTCCGTACCGTACCACATCATACAGTCCTATATTCCGTACCGTACCACATCATACAGTCCTATATTCCGTACCGTACCACATCATACAGTCCTATATTCCGTACCGTACCACATCATACAGTCCTATATTCCGTACCGTACCACATCATACAGTCCTATATTCCGTACCGTACCACATCATACAGTCCTATATTCCGTACCGTACCACATCATACAGTCCTATATTCCGTACCGTACCACATCATACAGTCCTATATTCCGTACCGTACCACATCATACAGTCCTATATTCCGTACCGTACCACATCATACAGTCCTATATTCCGTACCGTACCACATCATACAGTCCTATATTCCGTACCGTACCACATCATACAGTCCTATATTCCGTACCGTACCACATCATACAGTCCTATATTCCGTACCGTACCACATCATACAGTCCTATATTCCGTACCGTACCCCACCAAGCAATTCTGTACCACGCTATCTCATTCCATATCACGCTATCGTCACTAAGTATTACTCACGTTATAAACTGAAAGCTGATTAGCTTAAGTGATGATAAGTTCCTTGAGAAACCGCACCGTCGTTAAGGTAATTAATAGGGAAGACGATGACTCATTTACTTGTTAAGGAGAAAGGAAGAGAGGAAGAGGAAGGAAGGAGGAGATAAGGGGGAGAAAGAGGGAGGAGGAGGAAGAGAGGAAGAGAGGAAGAGGAAGAAGGTGGGAAATAAGGGGGAGAGAGAGGGAGGAGGAGGAAGAGAGGAAGAGGAAGAAGGAGGGAAATAGTGGGGGGAGAAGGGGAGGAGGAGGAGGAGGAAGGAAGAAAAGAGGAAGAAGGTGGGAAATAAGGGGAAAGAGAAGGAGGAGAAAGGAAGAGAGGAAGAGGAAGAAGGAGGAAATTAAGGAGGAGAGAGAGGGAGGAGGAGGTGGAGGAAGGAAGAGAGGAAGAGGAAGAAGGTGGGAAATAAGGGGGAGAGAGAGGGAGGAGGAGGAAGAGAGGAAGAAAGGGAAGAAAGGAAGAAGGTGGGAAATAAGGGGGAGAGAGAGCGAGGAGGAGGAGGAGGAAGGAAGAGAGGAAGAGGAAGAAGGAGGGAAATAGTGGGGGGAGAAGTAGAAGAGGACAAAGGAGGAGGAGGAGGAGAAAGGGATGAGGAAGAGGAAGAAGGTGGGAAATAAGGGGGGGGAGAGAGGGAGGAGGAGGAAGAGAGGAAGAGGAAGGAGGAGGGAAATAGGGGGAGAGAGAGAGAGGAGGACAAAGGAGGAGGAGAAGGAAGAGAGGAAGAGGAAGAAGGTGGGAAATAAGGGGGGGAGAGAGGGAGAAGGACAAAGGAGAAGGAGGAGGAGAAGGAAGAGAGGAAGAAGGAGGAAAATAGGGAGAGAGAGAGGGAGAAGGACAAAGGAGAAGGAGAAAGAAGAGGATAAAGATGACGAAGAAAAGGAGGAAGGAGGGAAGTAAAGAAGTCGAAAGATGAAGAAGGAGGAGAAGGAAGGGAAAGTAGGGGAATAAGAGACGAAGATAAGGGATGGGGAAAGAGCAGATGAAGGAAGGAGAGGAAGAGGAAGAGGAAGAAGATGATGATTAGGAGAAAGAGAAAATCAATTGAGATGAAGATAAGAAGAAGAAGAAAAAGAAGAAGAAGAAGAAGAAGAAGAAGAAGAAGAAGAAGAAGAAGAAGAAAATGAGCAGAAGAAAGAGAAAGAGGAGGAAAAGAAGGAAAAGGAAGACTAAGAAGAAGGGTGAATAAAGATAAGGATAAGAATAAAAGGAATAAGATTTTTTAGAAATGAGAATAAGAATAAGGAGAACAAAGAATAAAAATAAGAATTAAAAAAAATATGCGAATAAGGAATTAAAAGCATAAGAATAAAATAATGATAAGAATAGGAATAAGAGAGAATAAAAAGAACAAATGTAATAATAATAATAATGATAATTATGATACTGATGATAATGATAATAATAATAATGATGATAATAACGATAATAATGATAATGATAACAACAACAACAACAACAACAACAACAATAATAATAATAATAATAATAATAATAATAATAATAATAATAATAACAATGATAATGACACTACTATTAATAATAATTATGATGATAATAATGATGATGATGATGATGATGATAATAATTATAATGATAATAATGATAATGATAATAGTGATAATAATACTAATACTACTAATAATAATGATGATAATAATAATAATGATAATAACGATACAAATAACAACAGTAATAAAAACAATAATAATAAGAAGAAGCAGAAAAAAAGAAAAAAAGAAAAAAAAAATACTCAATGTACAACACGCGCCCTAATCACGCTGATAATTATCTATCTAATTATCTATCGTGTCGGTAGGTGAGGGAGGGTCCGGGGGGGAGGGGGGAGGGGGGGGAGGGGGTAATGGGCATCGAGGGTGAAGTGAGGAAAGGGGATGGGAAGGGAAGGGGTTAGGGAGGGGAAGGGGGGGGGAGGGGAAGGGAAGGGAAGGGGGGGAGGGGAAGGGAAAGGGGAGGTTAGGGAAGGGGGGTTAGGGAGGGGAAGGGGGAGGGGAGGGAAAGGGGAAGGGAAAGGGGAAGGGGAGTTAGGGAGGGGAAGGGAGAGAGGGAAAGGGGAGGGAAAGGGGAGTTAGGGAAGAAAGGAGAAAGGGAGGGAAAAGACAAGGGAGGGGAAGGGAAGGGGAAGAGGGAAAGGGGAAGAGAGGGAAAGGGGAAGTGAGTAAAGAGGAAAGGGGAAGGGAGAGGGGTTAAGAAACGGGAAGGGACGAGAAAGGAAAAGGGTTGAGAAAGGGGAAGAGAGCGAAAGAGAAAAAAAAAGAGAAAAGAGGGTTAAGGAAGGGGGAAGAGAAGAGCAGGGATGCTGGAAAAGGAGGGAAGGAGGGAGGGAAGGAGGGAGGGAGGGAGGGGGGAAGGGACGAAGGTCATCGTGGGCGTGTGGGCGTGTGGGCGTTGAAAGAAGCGCTTGACCAGACGCATTCAAAGACTTGCCGCCCGTGCACCTGGGGAGAGTTCCTGGGGAGGGGGGGAGGGGGGGGAGAGGGGAGGGGAAGAGGGTGAGCAAAGTAGTGGTTATCTGAGGAGGTTGGTTCGGGGGGGAGGGGGGGGAGGGGGGAGGGAGAGGAGGAGAAAGGGGAGCGGAAGAGGGTGGTGGAGGGGAGGGGGAGAGGAGAGGAGGAGAGGAGGAGAGGGGAGGAGGAGAGGAGAGGGGGAGAGGGGGAAGGAGAGGAGAGGGGGTGAGAGGGGAGGAGAGGTAGAGAGGAGAGGGGGAGAGGAGGAGAGGAGAGGGGGAGAGGAGAGGAGGAGAGGGGGAGAGGAGAGGAGGAGAGGAGAGGGGGAGAGGAGAGGGGGAGAGGGGGAGAAGAGGAAAGGAGAGGAGGAGAGGAGAGGAGGGGAGGGGGAGGGGGAGAGGGGGAGGGGGAGAGGAGAGGGAGATGGCGGGGAGGTGGGAGGGAGGGGGGAAGTGTGGGGGAGAGGGAGGTGGAGGGGGGGAGGAGAGGAGAAGGGGAGAAGGAGGTGAAGGGGTGAGGGTGGGGGAGGGGGGGCGGGGGTTCTTGGTCTGTCTCTCTCTCTCTCGTTTTGTTATATTTTGTTTATTTGCTTGTTTTCATCTTTGTCTCTGGTTCTCCTTTCTCTCTCGTTCTCTTTTTCTCTGTCTGTCGGAAAGAAAAAGAAAATTAAAGCAAAAAAAGAAGAAAGGAAAAGCAATAAGAGATAAAAAAAAAGAGAGAAAGAGAAGGAAAAATTAGAAAATGAGAGAAAAAGAAAAGAAAAAGAAAAGAAATAAAGAAAATAAGAATAATGAAACACTTTCATCACTCGTTAAAAAGTTTAAGAAAACAAATACAGTATTAATAATTCAAATAAACAAATATATATATATATATATATATATATATATATATATATATATATATATATATATATATATGTGTGTGTGTGTGTGTGTGTGTGTGTGTGTGTGTGTGTG